AACCACCTCCACCAAGTCTGGCCTTCTTAATGAGAGCATTCAGCACACACACCCCACAATGACAGTAATAATAATAATAATAATAATAATAATAATAATAATAATCCTTAATTTGTACCCCGCTACCATCTCCCGGAGGACTCGGTGCGGCTTACAAGAGGCCGAGCCCAAATGCAACAGTAAAAACAACAACAATACAGCAAAATAACTCAAAAACAAGGCAATAACATTAACAACACACCATGACGCAATTAAAATCTATGACAGGGCCAAATGTAATAATTAAAATTAAAAAGTGCTGGGCATGACCAGGTGAAAAGGGTAGGTGTTTGGAAGGGGGTGGGCATGCAGTTATCCTGGCTGGGGCTTGCCTAATGTCCTTAGGGAGAGAGTTCCAGAGTCAAGGGGCCACCACCGAGAAAGCCCTATCCCTCGTCCCCGCCAATTGCACTTGCGATGCAGGTGGGATCGTGAGTAGGGCTTCTCCAGATGACCGAAGAGATCGTGTGGGTTCGTACACAGAGATGCGGTCACGCAGGTAGGCGGGTCCCAAACAGTGTGAATAAATTGTCAATATTTGCCTGAGATAGTGCTTGCAGTTCTGGAGGGACTCTTAATTTTTTGCATCTCATAAACTTAGCATGGGGATTTGGTTAACCAGTTAAAATTCATCAGTAAACCAGGTTTTTAAAAAAATCTGAAACATTTCGGGGGGGGGGTTGAACCCCTAACCCCCCCCCCCTCGCTACAGGCCTGTATATATATATATATGCCTGTGTTTGCGTGTGAAAGAGAGAGAGAGAGAGAGAGGGAGATAAATGAAGCTGCAGCTACTGGTTGTACAGTATGAAACAGATAAGACTTAGTTCTAATTCAGCACAGATATTTCTCTGTTCCCAGTACCAAAGGGCCTAGCTCAGCATTGATAAGCGAAAGAGAAAGAAATTAAATTGCAATGAAAAAAAAAATACATGGTGCGAAGTCAGGGCGATGACAGTTTTCCTTTCAGTCAGGGTCTCCCACACATGCCAGATGCCAGTGCTGCCACCACCCACTCTCCCATCTGTTCACCCACTCCACCTCCCATCCTCCCCCACCGGACCCCAGATGTCCCTTCCAAACTCCCAGCCAGCTCCAGATTAAATGGAATGGATCAAGGCATAGGGGCAGCAGGCAAAGGAGGGGAAGGAGGCTGATCCAGGCCTGTCCTTGCTGCAAGTCTCAGCAAAAATACAAAGCAATCACAAAAAATAAAATAAAATGAAATTGGATATCCTTGGCTCCATCCTGATGGTTTTTCCATCTCTGAATGAACACTGTCCTAATCCGGAAATACTTTGCATGAGGAAAAAAACAGAAAATGCTCAAGAAGCAGATAATTTACAGTTTGAAGAAGTTGCTTGGGGCAGGGGGGTTCAGCAACTCTCAAAACCTGCCCCCAAAGCAATCTCTCCCGTTCCCCAAGGCCAAATCCAGCCAAGCAGCGTTGAATCCTATCCAAACTGCTTTCTTGCTTTCATTTTTTCTTTCCATGAAGGCAGAATAGGGGAGGAAAGGAGGAAGAGAGATTAAAAACAAGCAGTCTTGGGTTGCTGTGAGTTTTCTATGTTCCAGAACCAGGAATATTGCATTCAAATCACCCCTGACAGATGGCCATCCAGCCTCCCATTGGCAAAAAAAAAAGCCAATGGGAGTTTGGCCTGCATCAATAGGAGCATAGTGTCTTTTTTCTAAAGGTGAGGAGGGATGACGATGACCTAATTTCCCCGGGGAGCAAATTCCACAGGCAGGGGGCCACCACCGAGAAGGCCCTGTCCCTCGTCCCAGCCAAGCGTGTTTGAAAAAGATCATGGATCAGAGCAGGCCCGTAGCCTGAGAACACATAACTACCATGTCAGACTACACAGAGAAGCCACTGAAATCCACAAGCATGTGGACAATTTCAACAGAAAGGAGGAAACCATGAAAATGAACAAAATTTATTTATTTATTGAATGACATTTATACCCCACCCTCTCTCACCCCGAAGGGGACTCAGAGCGGCTGACAAGTTATATGTACATAGAGTATAACGGCACTCCATGCAGTCATGCTGGCCACATGACCTTGGAGGTGTCTACGGACAACATTGGCTCTTCAGCTTAGAAATGAGCACCATAGAATCATAGAATCAAAGAGTTGGAAGAGACCTCATGGGCCATCCAGTCCAACCCCATTCTGCCAAGAAGCAGGAATATTGCATTCAAATCACCCCTGACAGATGGCCATCCAGCCTCTGTTTAAAAGCTTCCAAAGAAGGAGCCTCTACCACACTCCGGGGCAGAGAGTTCCACTGCTGAACGGCTCTCACGATCAGGAAGTTCTTCCTCATGTTCAGATGGAATCTCCTTTCTAGAGTTGGTCACGACTCAACTCAATGTCAGGGGAAAACCTTTATCTTTACCTATACTTTATTATAATATTAGCATAGCACAATAACAAGAATGATTGACAACTGGGAAATAGAGGGAGAAAACATGGAGGCAGTGACAGACTTTGTATTTCTAGGTGCAAAGGTTACTGGAGACACAGACTGCAGCCAGGAAATTTGGAGACGCTTACTTCTTGGGAGGAGAGCAATGACCAACTCGATAAAATGGTGAAGAGTAGAGACATCACACTGGCAATGAAGATCCGCATAGTCAAGGCAATGGTATTCCCCATAGTCACCTACGGATGTGAGAGTTGGACCATAGGGAAGGCTGAGCAAAGGAAGAGAGATGCTTTTGAACTGTGGTGTTGGAGGAAAGTTCTGAGAGTGCCTTGGACCACGAGAAGATCCAACCAGTCCATACTTCAGGAAATAAAGTCAAACTGCTCATTGGAGGGAAGGAGAGTAGAGGCCAAGATGAAGTACTTTGGCCACATCATGAGGAGACAGGAAAGCTTAAAGAAGACAATTATACTGGGGAAGATGGAAGGGAAAAGGAAGAGGGGCCGACCAAGTCCTTGAAGTGACTGGATTGACCTTGAAGGAGCTGGGGGTGGTGACGGCCGACAGAGAGCTCTGTCGTGGGCTGGTCCATGAGGTCACGAAGAGTTGGAAACGACTGAACAAATGAACAAAAACAACGCATAACACAATATTATTATTATTATATATTACTATCCGTCCCTGCCACGCATTGCTGTGGGGGTTCTGTGTGGAAGGTTTGGCCCAATTCTATTGTTGGTGGGGTTCAGAATGCTCTCTGATTGTAGGTGAACTATAAATCCCAGCAACTACAACTCTCAAATGTCAAGATTCTATTTTCCCCAAACTCCACCAGTGTTCACATTTGGGAATATCGGGTATTCGTGTAGTTGGTCCAGATCCCTCGTTGTTTGAGTCCACAGTGATCTCTGGATATAGGTGAACTACAACTCCAAAACCAAAGGACACTGCCCACCAAACCCTTCCAGTATTTTCTGTTGGTCATGGGAGAATTGTGTGCCAAGTTTGGTTCAATTCCATCGTTGGTGGGGTTCAGAATGCTCTTTGATTGTAGGTGAACTATAAATCCCAGCAACTATAACTCCCAAATGACAAAATCATTTTTTTTGAGTGAAGGACATACATCGGGTTGTTAGGTGTCTTGTGTCCAAATTTGGTGTCAATTTGTCCAGTGGTTTTTGAGTTCTGTTAATCCCACAAACGAACATTACATTTTTATTTATATAGATATTGTACTATACCACTATACTGCAATATTATTAGCAATATTACATGTATTATATAATATATGATTATTATATTGCTATATTGTATTATTAGTAGTATTATTATATTGTATTACATTATAATAGTAATATCAATATTATAATAACTCTGGCTACCAGTATTTAAAAAACTTCTAAAGCCCGGACAGTAAATAAAGAACAACACTCAAAAACAGGAGAATTCCAGAAACTATCAGGGCCAGCTAATCACCTCCCAACCAAGGATTCTCCCAGGCAGGAAGCAGCCAGGCTTTGAAGTTGCAAGGCTATTGAATGCTAATCAAGCTGGCCAATTGCAACAATTATACTTGCCTCCAACAGACAAGATTTCTTTCTCCCACCCTGGACATTATTCCACAGACATATAAATGCCACTTGCCTAGTTTCCAACAGATCTCACAACCTGTGAGGATGCCTGTCATAGATGTGGGTGAAACGTCAGGAGAGAATGCTTCTGGAACATAGCCATACAGGCTGGAAAACTCACAGCAATCCAGACAGGAGTATTTCTCCCACACTGGACATAATTCCACAGATATATAAACACCACTTGCCTAGTTTCCAACAGGCCTCACAACCTGTAAGGATGCCTGCCATAGATGTGGGTGAAACGTCAGGAGAGAATGTTTCTGGAACATGGCTATACAGGCCGGAAAACTCACAGCAACCCAGACAAAAGTCTTTCTCCCACCCTGGACATTCCACAGATATTATAAACCCCACTTGCCTAGTTTCCAACAGACCTAACAACCTGTAAGGATGCCTGCCATAGATGTGGGTGAAATGTCAGGACAGAATGCTTCTGGAACATGGCCACAACAACCCAATGAATCAGTCTTGGATTTCCCCAGTCCCCAGCTATCTCACTTCTTAGAGTCTATCTGTCAGACCCAATTGCTCAAGCATAAACCCCACCCAAAGACTCCATCTCTCCACCTCCCTTTTGCAGGAATTGCTTCTTTTTGGAGACGTTTTTCAAAGGGAAAAAGAGAAAGGAAAGCAGGAACGTGAGAGGAAAGGATTAAGAGGGGAAGGGAGAGCAAGGGATTAGCTATGAAACACGGCTCCCCACTTGATCCAAGAGCCCCCCGATTTTGAATGGCTCTCTTGCAAAGAGGGTCCCCCCAACCGTCTCCAAGGCGTTGTCTTGTGCGCCTTTGCGCCTTTGGGCGCATCTCAAAACGAGGGAAGATCTCCCCCCAAAAACACACTCCAATGAAAGAATCCTTCCTTTGCCGCCTCCCCCACATCGTTGGACTCACCGACCAGAAGGAAAAAGACGTGGATCAGCCACGGGGGGGTCTTGCGAGGAGCATCCATTGCAAGAGAGGAACAGAAAGGTGGGAGCGAGTGGGCAGGGCGCATGGATGCTGTTGCTGCTGCAGTTTCGCTCTCTCTTGTTCCTCTTTGGCGCCCGGATCTGAGCCAACCTTTGCCCCCCTCCCCAAAATGAGGTTTCCCCCCGCCCTGGCCTTCTGGCTGCCCCCTTGTTCAAGAGATAAGGGGGGTGAAGGGGGCTTCTTGGCTGGCTTGCCCGCCTTCTCGCTCGCCACGCCTCCGCCAGATGTGGAGAGGAGGAGACAAGGGAGGGATGGGTGAGTGGCTCATGGAAAAGACCCTCCCTCCTCTTCCCTTCCTGCAGGGACTCTGTGCATGCTCAGAACTCATTTGTGGCCTTTTTGTACCAAAGATAGAAACACATTTTGACTATTGGTTTTTTTCCAAATAATAATAATAATAATAATAATAATAATAATAATAATGTATTGTCGAAGGCTTTCATGACTGGAATCACTAGGTTCTTGTGGCGGTTTTCGGGCTATAAGGCCATGTTCTAGAGGCATTTCTCCTGACGTTTCGCCCGCATCTATGGCAAGCATCCTCAGAGGTTGTGAGGTCTGTTGGAAGTAGGAAAATGGGTTTATATATCTGTGGAATGGCTGGGGTGGGACAAAGGACTCTTGTCTGCTGAAGCTAGGTGTGAATGTTTTAGTGACCACCTTCATTAGCATTTGAAGGCCTGGCTGAGCCTGGGAAAATGTTTTGTTGAGAGGTGTTAAGATGTGCCTGGTTGTTTCCTCTCTGCTGTCTTGCTGTTGTAATTTTAGAGTTTTTTAATACTGGTAGCCAGATTTTGTTCATTTTCATGGTCTCCTCCTTTCTGTTGAAATTGTCCACATGCTTGTGGATTTCAATGGCTTCTCTGTGTAGTCTGACATGGTGGTTGTTGGAGTGGTCCAGCATTTCTGTGTTCTCAAATAATATGCTGTGTCCAGGCTGGTTCATCAGGTGCTGTGCTATGGCTGACTTCTCTGGTTGAAGTAGTCTGCAGTGCCTTTCATGTTCCTTGATTCGTGTTTGGGCAATGCTGCGTTTGGTGGTCCCTATGTAGACTTGTCCACAGCTGCATGGTATACGGTAGATTCCTGCAGAGGTGAGAGGATCCCTCTTGTCCTGGTCTAGCAGACTACACAGAGAAGCCATTGAAATCAATAAGCATGTGGACAATTTCAACAGAAAGGAGGAAACCATGAAAATGAACAAAATAGTACATTTAGGGACATATTGCTAGGAGTTTCCTTATTCTGGGAAGGCACACTGGAACAACCACATTTTCAGGCTCCTCCTAAAGAATGCCAGAGTTGGGGCATGCCTGATGTCCTTGGGGAGTGAGTTCCAGAGTCGAGGGGCCACCACCGAGAAGGCCCTCTCCCTCGTCCCCACCAATCGCACTTGTGATGGAGGTGGGAGCGCGAGCAGGGCCTCTCCAGATGATCGAAGCGTCGTGTGCCATATTTGGTTCAATTCCATCATTGGTGGAGTTCAGAATGCTCTTTGATTGTAGGTGAACTATACATCCCAGTAACGACAACTCACATATGTCAAGGTCTATTTTCCCCAAGAGCGCCTCAAGAGCGCCCCTGGGCAAAATCAACTATACTGCAAATGCTTACTTTGCGTAATGGGTTGAGCCGCCCCTGCACCAGGTAGGCAGGTCCCAAACTGTTCAGGGCTTTGTAGGTAAGCACCTGCACCTTGAATTGGGACCGGAAAATGAACGGCAGCCAGTGGAGCTTCTTAAACAGGAGGGTTGACCGCTCCCTGTAAGGAGCACCAGTTAACAACCTGGCTGCTGCCCATTGGACCAACTGAAATTTCCAGGTCATTTTCAAGGGCAGCCCCACATAGAGCGCATTACAGTAGTCCAATCTGGAAGTGACTAAGGCATGGACCACCCTGGTCAGGTCTACCTTCACGAGGTATGGTCGCAGCTGGTGCACGAGTTTTAATTGTGCAAAGGCCCTCCCGGCCACCGCCTACGCCTGAGCCTCAAGTGTAAGTGATGAGTCCAGGAGGACACCCAGACTGCGGACCTGCGATTTCAAGGGGAGTGCAACCCCATCCAGCACAGGCTGTCACCCTATACCCCGATCCGGTTTACGATCGACCAGGAGGACCTCTGTCTTGTCGGGATTGATCCTAATAGTCGAAGAGTATATCAGGGACATCTTTTGGGTGTCAAACAGTGAAGAAGTTAAAACCAGCAGACAGAGTCCGCACTATTGTATGCATAGTATGTTTCCTGTTCTTGTATGTGTAGTATACAAGAACTGTTGTATACGTAGTATATGTTTACTGTTGTATGCATAGTAAATGTTTGCTGTTGTATGCACATAATATGTTTACTCTTGTATAGTATATGTTTATTGTTGTATGAATAGTAAATGGTTACAGCTGTATATACAGTATATGTTTACTGTTGTATACATAGTATATTTTACTGCTATATGCATAGCATTTATTTATTTATTTCAAATATTTGTACCCCACTCTTCTCAACCCCTGAAGAGGGACGCAGGGTGGCTTACAGCCAGCAATGATTCGATGCCCCCGCATACAGCATAATAAAATACAATAATTACATACAGGTTAAAACATTGAGCTTGTTGACTGAAAGGTCGCAGGTTCAATTCCAGGGAGCAGCATGAGCTTCTTCTGTGAGCCCCAGCTTCTGCCAACCTAGCAGTTTGAAAACATGCAAATGTGAGTACCACCTCACCTGCCACATAGGAAACCTGCTACAAAACAGGAGCTTTTTTTGTTGAGTTCCAGGGCCAGAGAAGCAGAAGGCGGAAACAGAAGAACGGCCTGCCTCAGGGAAGCGTGCTTGCCCCATCCATGTTCAACATCTACACAAATGACCAGCCACTGCCAAAAGGGACAGAGAGTTTCATTTATGCTAATGATTGTGCCATCACCGCTCAAGCAGGGAGCTTTGAGATGGTAGAACAGAAGCTCTCCGAAGCTCTAGGTGCTCTTACTGCCTATTACAGGGAAAACCAGCTGATCCCTAACCCATCTAAAACACAGACATGTGCTTTTCATCTCAAGAACAGACAAGCATCCCGAGCTCTGAGGATCACCTGGGAAGGAATCCCACTGGAGCATTGCAACGCACCCAAATACCTGGGAGTCACTCTGGACCATGCTCTGACCTACAAGAAGCACTGCCTGAATATCAAGCAAAAAGTGGGAGCCAGAAACAATATCATACGAAAACTGACTGGCACAACCTGGGGATCACAACCAGACACAGTGAAGGCATTTGCCCTTGCGCTATGCTACTCTGCTGCTGAGTATGCATGCCCGGTGTGGAACACATCTCACCACACTAAAACAGTGGATGTGGCTCTTAATAAGACATGCCGTATTATCACGGGGTGTCTGCGCCCTACACCACCGGAGAAATTACACAGCCTAGCCGGTATTGCACCACCTGACATCCACCAGGAAGTAGCACGCAATAGTGAAAGGACTAAGGCAGAGACATCTCCAGCTCATCCCTTGTTTGGGCATCAGCCAGCACGCCAATGACTTAAATGAAGAAATAGTTTTGTAAGATCTACAGAGACACTCGCTGGAACACCTCAGCAAGTGAGAGTCCAAAAGTGGCAGGCTCAACCCCAGAGCCTCAATCAATGGCTGATACCCAATGAGAGACTCTGGCCACACAGAAGACTGGGAGGCTTGGAAGGCGCTGAACAGACTGCACTCTGGCACCACGAGATGCAGAGCCAACCTTGAAAAATGGGGCCACAAAGTGGAATCCACGACATGCGCTTGTGGATAAACCACTGACCACCTGCTGCAATGCAACCTGAGCCCTGCCACGTGCACAATGGAGGACCTCCTTGTGGCAACACCAGAGGCACTCCAAGTGGCCAGATACTGGTCAAAGGACATTTAATCAACTACCAAGCTTGCAAATTCTGTGTTTTGTCTGTCTGTCTGTTTGTTTTTGTTAAAAATGTAATACAAATGTCTGGTTGCTGATGACACGATAAATAAATAGCACACAAGATGTGAATCCCATGTGAAACTCAGCACAAGGCAATGTAATGGGCAAATTCCCCAGGCAAAACTAGTCTTTTTCTGTTGTGCCGTGCAACATTTCCTGCTTCTGCTAATCTAAGGCAGGGCACAAGATGGCCTGCGCATCACCCTGACGTTCTTGATGTTTAATGCATCTGCGTGCAAAGCAGAAGTGGTGCTTAGAGGAAGGAAAGGCCCAGCCGTCAGGATGCAATCTTAGCAGCAGCCACTATGCGCCCCCATAAGATTACTTTTATCCAATATTAATAATATGAATTTCTACTTGCCTTGAGCCACAAAGAGAGGCAGATAATTAAATTGCTATTACTATCATCATCATCATCAATCCCTATCCAAAACAGGGAAAGACAATTAGATTCCTGGATATTATTATAGTTATTATTTTACTGATACTAAAGTGCAGTATGTCACAGCAAATGAGATCTATATGCTGGATTTTGTATAATAATAATAAGAAGAAGAATCATAGAATCAAAGAGTTGGAAGAGACCTCATGGGCCATCCAGTCCAACCCCATTCTGCCAAGAAGCAGGAATATTGCATTCAAATCACCCCTGACAGATGGCCATCCAGCCTCTGTTTAAAAGCTTTCACAGAAGGAGCCTCCACACTCCGGAGCAGAGAGTTCCACCGCTGAACGGCTGTCCCAGTCAGGAAGTTCTTCCTCATGTTCAGATGGAATCTCCTTTCTTGTAGTTTGAAGCCATTGTTCCATTGCGTCCTAGTCTCCAAGGAAGCAGAAAACAAGCTTGCTCCCTCCTCCCTGTGGCTTCCTCTCACATATTTATACATGGCTATCATATCTCCTCTCATCCTTCTCTTCTTCAGGCTAAACATGCCCAGCTCTTTAAGCCGCTCCTCATAGGGCTTGTTCTCCAGACCCTTGATCATTTTAGTCGCCCTCCTCTGGACACATTCCAGCTTGTCAATATCTCAATTAGATACACAACAAAATAATTACGCAGCAAACAAGATCACTATGCTGGCTTTTGTATTTGATCACACATCAGACACTTCCCAAGTGTCTAGGACTGTATGATGTATCAGCGAATAATGCATGCAGATCCAAGTAGGGTTGCCTTTTACAGCTGACAGATGGTAATTTTGTCAGCGCTGATTGTTTTTAAGTGCCAACCAAGGTATTTAGGCACTGCACTCAGTGTGCTGATCACCACTG